ACTATCTTTACAAGTTAATCTACTATTTCCTATTCGACCATTAACAAGAAAGAGGTTGTTATTTTTACAGAATTCAATCAATTTGTATCCATAATTATTGCAAATATTATCACTGTTCATTCTTTCCAGTGAAACGTTTGAATTCAACAATACATTAACTTCTTCTAAAGATTTTTGTGTTTCTTCGTCCAACATACCATGGTTTACAAAAAAATCATCTAAGCATACAAAATCTTTTGATTTACCGGTCCGTGCATTAAAGTCACCCAATAAACAGATATTTTCTGAATTTTTGGAAAAATTTAACAGTTCTGGTTCAATGTCAGTAAAACTATCAACTGATGTGTATCTAGTGTTTTCTGGAGGTATATACGTAATTCCAAACAATATATCTGAATGTAAATCAACAACTTCTTTCGATAACTTAAACCAAAATACATATTCACAGTTTGAGGTTATAACATCAACATATTTAACTAAATTTTCTCTCACTGCAAGGATAATTCCTCCTGATTTAACTTTTGCAATATTGAATCTATTTTTTATATATACAACGAACCCTGGGATATTTATGACATAGAGGGCAAGATCCTCTTCCTTCCCCTGCTTGTTAGAGATCTGCGAATGTAGAGACTGGAAGTCGTTTACTCTGAGTCGCTTACTAAGGAGATGAGAGGCACTGTGTTAAATAGATATTATAACCTTACATGGAATAATAAAATCATAGTGAGACCACAGGTCACCCAACGTTATCCATAAATGTGAAGCTCTTATACTAGTATATCATATATTTTATACAATTGCAGTTAATGTTGCTCAACCTCCAACCCCACCCCCCAATCTTTTCTAATCCCATCAGATGGTTATTCATTTGTAAGGGCTTCACAGTAATAAAATTTATTCTGTTTTCACTTTACGTATGCAACGCACTATATTTTGTAGCGGAGTAAACAGGCCCGATAGTCGTGAAGTGAGCAAGGGACCTAAGGTCCTATTTGAGCGTACGTTTTATCCTTCTGTGAATAATCACGTAATTTTTGCGTCATAACGCGAAACTCTTGAGAATAAGTGCGTAACTTTCGCGTTATATAACACATAACTTTCGCGTTATATCGCTAAGTTATATGTAAGTATTGATCTTGAATGACTTGAAAAAGATATGAAACATGGATGCAGACGGGAGCTTCTATGAATTTATGAATGACTTTTTCTCAGAAGATATATTAGTCTTCAGATTTTGGCATTTTATTTAAAATTCCTACTCATTAATAAAACAAGAGGCCCAAGGGCCTTGAATCGGTCTTCTGATAAATTGTACAATCTATCACTTTTATTTGAAGCCTCTAACTCTAAGTATCCTAAGAGTGTCCGACCCAAGTTGCATCAAATGACAAAGTTTGATGATTCTTGGCCAGTTAGGACTGAAGATATTCTAATAAAGCTATTTAAAAAAAACCATAAGTAGGTCACAGTGACCTACTTTAAGACTGAAGTTTTCTGAGGACTCAAGATGCATTAATCGACAAAAATTGAAGATTTTAAACCAATAAGTATTTGAGATATTTATAAGTAGTTCACCGTGACATACTTTTTTGTTTACATACTCCGAAAACCCAAGATACATCAACTGACAAAGTTTGCTGATACTAAGCCAATAAGTATCCAAGATACTTAAATATAGCCATAAATATCACAGGTAGGTCACCTTGACCTAATTTTTACTAGACGATTTTGGAACCCCCCTAGATACATTAACTGACAAAGTTTGATGATTCTACGCCAATAAGTACCTGAGATATCTAAAAGTAGGTCGCCATGACCTACTTTTTGGTCGACATTCTCCGAAAACCAAGATACCCCAACGGACAAAGTTTAACAATTCTAGGTTAATAAGTACTCGAGATACGAAAATATAGCCATAAAATGTCAAAGTAGGTCAAGGTGATGTAAATTTTTGGTTTGCGTTCCGCGAAAAAACCCAAGATGTATCAACTGACAAAGTTTGATTATTCTAAGCCAATAAGTACTCACGATACTTAAATAAAGCCATAAAATGTCAAAAGTAGGTCACGATGACCTTGTTTTAAGTAGACGATTTCCGAAAAACCAAGATACATCAACTGACAAAGTTTGATGATTCTAAGCCAATAAGTATCTGAGATATTTAAAAGTAGGTCGCCATGACCTATTTTTTGGTTGACATTCTCCGAAAACCCAAGATGCATCAACTGACAAAGTTTGATGATTCTAAGCCAATAAGTACCGGAGATACTTAAATAAAGCCATAGAATGTCAAACGTAGGTCACAGTGACCTACTTTTTGGTCGTCATTCTCAAAAACCCAAGATGCACAAACTCACAAAGTTTGATGATTCTAAGCCAATAAATACTTAAGATACTTAAATAAAGCCATAAAATGTTGAAAGTAGGTCACCATGACCTACATTTTGGTCGACGTTTTTTGAAGTCCCAAGTTGCATCTACTGACAAAGTTTGATGATCGTAGGTTTGAAGGTAATCAAAATATGCCTTTTCAACAATTTGAAAACAAATGCCTGCGAAATTCAAAATGTAGGTCACAGTGACCTACTTTTTCATAAACATGTTTTAAGGCCCCGAGATGCATCAACTTACAAGTTTTTTGATGATTCTAAACCTCTCAGTGTCTGAAATAATGGGATTTAATGTTTTATAAAGGATTGGTCATTAAATTCAAAAATTAGGTCATAGTGACCTACTTTTAAGTTGATGTTGTTTAAGGACCTAAGATGCATCAACTGACAAAGTTGATGATCATAGGCCTTAAAGTGTCCAAAATATGCCTTCAAATCAATTTGAAAACAAATGCCCGCAAAATTTAAAAAGTAGGTCACCGTGACCTACTTTTGAGTTAACATGATGTGAAGTTCCAAGATGCATCAATATACAAGATTTGATGTTCCTAGTACTTATAGTAAGCAAAATGTAAACATTTTTATTAAGTATAAATTTAGGTCAACTTTGAAGTGACCTTGAGACCACGCCCTTTGCCCCAGGGTAATTCACCGTGCAAATTTTAATCTTCGACATATCCCAATCCTTGTATGTAAGTTTGGTGAAAATCTGCCTGGTGGTTATGGAGAAGAAAATTTTTTAGCAACCAGTACTTTTGGTTTTGTTTTCCTGATTTTCTCCCCTTGTTTAAGGGTCTCAACCCTTATTTTAGTATAAACGGTAGCCCTTGGACCAAGGACACCCTGTGACAAATTTGACACTGATTGGCCAAGGGGTTCTTGAGTTATAGCCTATATTCTAAAAAAATTTACGCACACCGCACGAATGGCCATAGCATTAGCTCTTTGAAACTTTGGCTCAGAAGAGCTAATGAATATTCCTTTCAAGATTTCCTTCTTTTTTCTTGTTGAATTCAAGAAATTCTTAAGACTGATTTTTTTTTGAATTTGTACACTTTGAATTCATTGTCAATGTTTTGTAAGCAATGGTATGACTATGCGGTGCAACCTCAAAATACGATGTTGTTCTTCTACAGAGAGTCTTTTGAAGACAATTGAACATTCGTCATCCAATTTTCACATTACTTCATTTTTTAGCTGCAGATCTGTAGCGTTATGGTTTTATATATATATATTATTATAACAGTAACTTGATCCGAAGGGTCGTATCACGTCGAGTTGACAGGCGCGGATCATCAGATCAAACGAGACGCGAAGCGTCGAGTTTGATCTGATGATCCGTGCCTGTCAACGAGACGTGATACGGCTCTTCGGATCAAGTTACTGTTATAATGATAAATTTATTATATACCCCCTTATAACTGGCTAAATATATCAAAATAAATCTTTAGAGATAAATTGGATAATAATAATCCATTAAACAAAGCATAATAACAAGGGACTTTTTAACGCGCAGGAAAAATAACGTCATATTTCTGCGTACTACGTCATCAGTTTCAGAGAGTGGTGATATGGATTCAGAAAACAACATGTTGGTGATCCGGAAAATCGGATCACGACGTCACGTGATAGCGTAAATTCAACAGTAAAATTGGGTGATACACATTAGGTATATAATAAAGTATAAGTCTTTATGGTCAAAGACTACATTAACTATATAAAACCATAACGCTACAGATATGCAGCTAGTCATTTATGTAATAGGACACAACTGACAACATTGCCTTCATTATATCAATTTCAATGAATTTTCTGAGATCGTACTTTTATATAAAATTCTACGGAGTGTGTAAAAAGATGACGCCGACAAAGGGTGATCTTTTCCCCTAAATTCAAAACCATAAGTTTCACATTTGGAAAACTTGCATGAGTTTGAATTGTCTGAACAGCATTCAGGAACTCAAAATGTGACAGGAAAAAGATTTAGAAATGGGAAATTGTAACAAAAAATATATCAATAAATCAAATGAAAATTAAAATTTATGCAGAAAAGTTTCACACTTATTCGCGAAAGTAACGAGATAAACGCGAAGGTTTCGCTTTTATTCTCGAAAGTTACGCGTTATAACGCGAAAGTTACGAGATATAACGCGAAAGCTCCGCTTTTATTCGCGAAAGTTACGCCCTATAACGCTAAAGTTAGGCGCTTATTCCCGAAAGTTACGCGTTGTTTATAACGCAAAAGTTACGCGTTTATTTGCTTCCGTATGTGTTCAATGCAAATCCTTTTGTGTTCAATGCAAATCCTTTTGAATTCTTCAAAATCGTTTCAGAGCGATTCTCTGTCTGCAGCCTTGCTACAATACGCGGGAGGCATTCTAACAGTGGTAAGGGCTTGTCCCGAGACACAGATTATTCTAACCACAGATCAAGTTATGCATATTACCAAAATGTCCACATTTTGTGGGCACTTTTCCATAAACAGGATATAATAGAATGTCATCCTAAAGAGAAAAGGGGAACCCGGTAGGAGACATGTATTGCTTATGCAATACTCTCAGGGCTTGTTTAAGTAGACTTAAATTATAATTCAACGGACTTTTACAGGTCACTTTGACGATTCGACTTTGAAGTTCCACTATTGTACCAAAGATCCCAATCACTTTCATGGCGAAGGAAACTGGCCTTCCGGGAACTACTGTATTTTAAAGCATTATACTTGTCCACCAGGTTTTGTTAGATTTTATATATATACGAAAATGAATATAAACGAATTTATATGCTTCGAATATTGAGAGTAGCAGATAAAACTACATTTTCAAGCTATTTAAAACTTTCAATTTTTTTCTTCATTATCTTGTCACTTTAAAAAACAAAACAATTTTTTTGTACGATCCATGTAGGTTTTCGTACTGGAATGGTACGCTGGGACGATGAGGATTATGTAAATGGAAATGGTTATGGCGGAACACTACCTAATGGATATTTTGGGGCTGACACCAGGATATATTACTGCTGCAGGTATAATTTAACTAATTAATGTTAAGATAGCACTTAGATAACGAGGTCTATAGAGATTTTTTTGTAATTATAATTGTCTAATCTTTATTACGCATCTTTCTTGGTTGTTTCTTTTCACATTAATTATGATTCTGGGATATCCATCATTAATATACCCCTCCCCCTTCGCTTGAAAAGCGGGAGGGTATATAGTAATCGGTTTGTCCGTCCGTCTGTACGTCCAAACGTCTGTCTGTCCATCCGTCCGTCTGTTACACTTTGGGGTACCTGTTACCCGCAACTCCTCTCTCACAGCTGAATGAGATTTGATGAAACTTTCACAGAATCTTTATTACATATTGCCATTGTGTACCTCCTGTTTTACTTTTTGATCTGACACATATTTTGCGTTTCCCATAGCAAAACATGGATACTCCCATTATATTCATATTGGAGGCGGGGGTATCATTTAGTGATACCCCCTGCTTTTTGGTATTCATCAACGATTTATGATGAGATAAATTTAAAAATTATGATAAAATTCCAAAATCTTGAAATATTTCTCCCCAGGGTCATTTGTTCCTGTGGGTTGGGGTGCACAACCGGTGGTTATAGAGTGGAAATGCATTTTGTATTTGTTACCCTGATCTATCTCGGGGTATAAAGTACCCAAAGTAAGCAAGGGAAGTGTATAGTTATTAAATTTTCATGGCTTTTGGTTTAAAACACGAACCAATTCAATTGTTTAAAAGTTAATTGTTACATGATACTCAGGTGACCTATAAGCCCCGTGGGCCTCTTGTTCTGAACGTTAACGTTTACTTTTTATGCTAAAAAATATTCATATAAAGACAGGTACCCCAGTTATGAACCTTAATCTCCACACCCTAACCACACCCTCCCCCTAAACAAAAACTGACTTTGTGAAGAGAACTCTCTTTTGCAGGCTTGTCAATTTTTAACTGACATCTTTTTTTTTTTTTTGTTTGTTTTTTGATAACGCACCCCCTTTTTAAAAATCGATCCTATATAAGAGCCTGACATTTCTTTTTTTTCATAGCATAATTAAAGTAGATTTTAAAATAAGTATCCAGTTAATACAACTAATAATGTTTATTTAATCCCACTTCTCTCATTGCGATTGGCTAGGATTTTAGCAAACATAAACTAGTAAGATTACATAAACTGCTTAATGAGTTTTTAAAACACAGGGGCCGGTAAGTATGGTGCGCCAAATTCACAAAAATGAGCTATTAAATAGGGATGGGTATCGCCAAAAATTTCGCATCGCGATATATCACGATTTTTTCTCACAATATCACGATAATATCATGATATTTTTAAAAGCAGTTTTTACAATGATTTTATGTGAAAAGTCATTATTTTTCTAAAAAATATGCTAGAAAAACAAAATTTTACTTTCTTGAAATTTTTATATAAATAAAATCAGTTATGTTTGGACGGTAAGATGCCGTTCTTTTCACTTTTTACAGCATTTTTTTATACTTTCTGTAATTGTAATTTGAAAGATTCAACAAATAAATGAATAATTTCTGGACTTTATAATATGTACCTAAAGACGGGTATTTAGGTCTCCTATCAGGATACGTATCACGCAACAAAAAATCGCGATATACCGGTATACCGATAAAATCGCACACCCCTACTATTAAACATAGTTTCACAATTGATAAACTAGGTGTATCGACTGCACTATAGTTTACAAACCGTGAACTATAGTTAACAATTCGTTGACTATAGTTTTCATCTGTAAAACTATATTTAACGGTTGTTAACTATAGTTTACGAATGCTTGTCTGTAATAAAACGTTAACAACAGATTTTGTTGATAAACATAGATTCACGTCTGTAAACTATAATTTACAATCGTGAACTATAGTTAAAAGTTGTTAATCATAGTTTTACAAATCGTGAAACTATATTTATCAGATCGTTAACTATAGTTAAGAGTTGTAAAACATAGTTTACAAATCGTGAAATGTATTTATCAGATAATCTATGTTTTGCAATCGCAAATGATTGTTTTCAGTGTTAAGTATAGTTTACGGTTCTGAAACATAGATTATCGCGTTAACTATGGTTCACAAATGTAAAATATAGATTAACGTTGTTAACTATAGTTTACAGTCCGTAAACTATAGTTTACAACCAATAAACTTAGTTTATCGACTGTGAAACTATGTTTAGCTCATTTTTGTGAATTTGGCGTGCCATGGGTAACACACTATATTTGAATTTACGTGTAACTAAATATAAACACAAAAAGAGATGGTGATTGCGTAATATCTAATATAGTATGTTCCGGCCCCTGTGATAAATTGAATAATTTTGCAAATTCAGGGTGAGGGTCCAACATCCCCCCTCCGCCGATCTGTGCATGCTCTATTTTTTGTCCCTTAAGCTGAGGACGCAAAGCCTCTGAATTAGCTTGTTTCTCTTACTTTTGGACAACATAGCTTCATCTTTCATATCACACTACCGTTAAGGCCCTTGAACATCTTTGAATACTATGACAATTTAAAAATTTCACCGATTTGTTCAGTTATTTTTTTTTATCACAGAAATGACGAGTATTACTGGAAGGCAATTGTACTACCAACAGACACACCGTTTTATTTGATGAGGTTTACTTCTCAGTGTCAAAAGGTCAGAGGAATGAACGTCAGGGAAGAACACGTGCATTTTGATGACGAGGATTATAACAACCGAAACTCAGTATACGGAAGTTATCCCTTTGGAGCCGGAGGAGAAGACCATGATCTGTATTACTGCTATTATGCCCCTCGTTATTGAAAACAATCTCTCTATCTCTCGATACTACTCGCACTCAAATTTTGAGTAGAAGACAATTGAAGACGTGTACATAACTGTTCTCATCTTTATATCCATGTTACATGTGTACTGTACCGGTCTTGTAAAGTAGGCTTTCCTTACAAAAAAGTGCTCTTAGAGTAGGATTTTCCTAACGAAATCCAATATCCGTTTCGACTTTTCAGAGGGAAAATCCTACTCTTGATAGTTATAGTGTGCGATTTTCTCTAGAGCCAATCCCTAAAATAAAATATCTATATTTATTTATAAGGCGAGGGGGGCAACATATTGATACATGAATGAATTTTGATATTATAAATCTTAATTTCCTCACTAACCGTCACGCGCATTAAAGATCAAACTGGTTTCTAGAAAATCAAGCTAATTCAGGGATAATAATAGGGAAAAAGAAGACCATGCGCAGTTCGGAGTTGGGGGGGGGGGGGGGGGGGGTGTCCGATCCCCCCCCCCCCCCCGACTGAATGTAGAATTATTAAATGTATACATGTATATTGAAGCAAATAAAAAATGCCAATATGGATATAAAGATTTGATTGCTTATTCTCTATTACATGTATGTATGTAGAAGATTCTTTTTATATAGAATATTTACCACACTGTAATAGTGATTTTATGAGTTTGTACAAGCCAGACGTCATATCTTTTTCATATCACATGATGATGAATACTATCATTTAGTGAAAAAGAAAGGTATTTAAAAAAAAAAAGAAAAGGAAAGAAAGAAAGTGGATCACTCGGGAAACGATCCCGAGGTCTCTTGCATGTCAAGCGAGAGACATAGCATTACACCACGGAGTCTCTTTATGCGGTGGAAAATTATATGCAAACAATAGGTCACATACATGTACACTGTATACTCTATTCTCTGACCTTATTTATGGGCGCCGCCATGTTTGGATCACGTGACTTGACGCCATGAAGGTGCTGATAACGTCATAATTCGGTCATACCCAATGCAGTAACTTTTCTCCATTATTCATCAATTTATTGGCGTAATACTAATAAGTAATGCAAGCACGCGTTTTTATTAAGTTAAAGTTAACTGATTCATTCTTTATTTGGTCTTTTTTCTCTTCATTGTTCGTATAATTACATGTTTTAAAATCAATATTGATCGATTGATTGTTATTGTTTAAGTCCGAGTTGGTTAAATTTATCCGTTTTGGAGGTTTAGTAAATATTACGCCGGAGTTTCTTTGAAAAAAATTTAAGCAAGATTATAAAAGGCAAAAACTTATATACTGGGTAAGTAAGAATGTCAGATCTTTTACACAGTGAGAAAGAGAGAGAGAGAGAGGGGGGGTCTTGGGTAAAATTATAACAGGTGATTTGTAAACCTGTTTCGAAAATAAATATTAGCATACAAATACAATCAAATGTACGACTGAAACTTTTTACAATTCATGTTTTAATTTCTGCGATGATTTTTTTTCCACTAACTAAGTTCATTAATAAACTGTATATACATATATCCTTGAGTCCTCGTGGGGTATTGGCAAACGAACAACTAGGATATTTTGAAGAAGGGCTAGTTGACGACTAATCCTCGTGTGAAACATACAACCTACCCCTTCTCCTATTTTTCACATTTAAAAAAAATCTGCGTGTCATGGACGTTAAATAAAAATTATAAGTGACTACAAAATCTCTCCCACATCTACACATCTATAGGCCTATCTGTCATTGTGTATATTTTTTGTCTAAATTTCCTGAAGGGCTACATGAGCATGGTTTCAACATTACTACAGGTAGATCAAGAAAATCATTTGTATAAGTGTCACCCTCCCCTGCCTTGTTTCCTTTTCTATTTCAGGTTGCCCCTGACGCCTATATTATACTGATATTACGATAAATCCCGAACTAATGAATTTTAAAAAAAGTACTTCAATTTCTCCGTTTTTCTCGATTCTTGTACAGGACTTGGGGAGAAACGCGGTTGAAGTATATACATCTGTATATACTAGTATATACTTTAAAACTTATTAATACTTGTGTAATATAATTTATTTATCAAAAAAAAAAGGTTGAAGATGTTTTTCATAAAGCAAGGACTGATTTTGAAGAGCATGCAACAAGCCAGTTTAATGCTTACGCAAGGCTAAACTTCCCTTTTTTAAAGCTTTATTATTCCTAAGTGATGTATGTCACATGTGCATGTGGAATCATTTCATAAAACGATAATCGTGTTTAATATTGCAGCACATTCTAAAATAATAATAAGAATTTGTTTCATTTTTTCCTTCTCAATTGTTATAAATATAATACATGAAAGTAAGTATATAATGTTTTTTTTAATGCGTAAATTGATTTTCTCGGCAGGCGGGCTGTTCATATACATGTATATTAGGCGAATGTGAATTGTAATTAAAATCAGATAAAGAACAATAGACTGTATTTATTTATTTTTTTTTAGTATAACACTATAAAGATTATTAAATAAATTAATATCCATGAAGTAAAATTGGATTAATAACACAACGGTCGTCTAGATTTTCTCAACAGACATATATTTTTTAAAAATGTTAAACAAGAAATATATAAATTTTTAATTTTGGTTCGCCCTATATGTGGTTCGCCCAATACTTATATATACTTGTATATATAAACTCATATGAATTAAAAAATAGCATATAACATTTTTTTCTATATTTCCTTTACGAACATGTGATATTTTTTCTCAAATTCTGATGCGAGAAACAATGTTTATTTAGTCTTAATTAATTTTTGATTTGATTCTAATGTTTTTTTGAATCTCAATTCCTTTGTCATTGTTAATTTTCTTTATTTAATTTTAATTTATCAAAGCAGCATATGGTGTATAAAATTATATACAAAACGTCAAATAAAAAAAGTTTCGGATAACTACGGGCTGTTCACTAATAAAATGAAATTGAAAATTTGATTTTAAAAATCACACACGCGTATATATCACTTTGTTAGATTTTAGATTTATTTACTATACTAACACACTTTTCCAGTCGTATCTCAGCATGTCTGACTGTGGAAAACAAAGAAAACAAGGTATTTATCACCCGTTTATTACCGTCTTCCTTGGAAGACGGTATTGTATAGTTGAAGTTTTTTACAGTCTTCGGACTATGCACTTCCTCTCTTTTGTGATTGGTAGAAATTGCATGATGAGAAAATTTTCAATTATTTCATTGGTTGAAATGCTGTTCAAGGCAAGGGAGATGACTTTCTGATGATCTAATTTTCGTACGACTTAACAATTTAGCAAGATTTCCAATCTTAAAAAGATGACAAAACGAACAACAAAATCAGCAGTAATTATTTCTTAATAACATTATATTTTCTATAGCAATAAATAAAAAGGTCTCTTTAATTTCATTATAAATAAAATTTGATGGTTATTGCTTGCAGGCCTTACAATTTGTTATTATTCCTTTCCCCTTTCTTGTTTGAATAGAGAATGGGAATCAGCCGAGGTTTGCCGAAAGCTCTCGGCATGTCAAAGTTTACGGAGATGACCGAGCGACAACCGTGATAGGGCTTATGCCCTTAAAAAGCTAATTTATAAATACAAAATCAAGAAATTCAAAAGAATTATACGTCCTGATAAGTGAAGATATGTTTACTGTTTAAAATTGTTGCTAAAGACGGTAAGCTTTTTAAAAAAGCTCTACTTGTTCGTAGTGCTTACTGTCATTCTTATCACACTGTCAGCACCATTATGGCGGCCGACGACAACGCCGCCGTGTGACAAAGCGCGATAACTCTGTATTACTTGTGAAAAAGAATCGTGTATATTTACGTTCGCTATCGTCAAATTTTACACAATGCAAGTATATAAGTAATAAACAACAATGTTAAAAAGTTCTCTGGGAAATGAACTTTTAGTTGATACTGAGAAGACCTTCAGGCTTTATAGGATTTGATCACGCGACCAACTAAAAGTTCATTTCCCAGAGAAGTTTTTAACATTGTTGTTTATTTCTTAACTAAACACTCTTTGTAAATGAATCAAATCAGTGTCGAGTACGAAAGCCCAGAAGGCTCATTCGAGATTCCAGTTTCGAAATTCGAATTTCGAGATTCAAGATCCAGACCAACCAATCAATCTGGGCTTTCGTACTTAAGATTGTCTGATATACTTCATCAAATTCGTGAACAAACAGGCACCGCTGCGCCGAGAGAGGATGTTGAGACATCGAGTCTTACGATTTTTGAGCGACTGATTTTCAGTTTCCCATTAGTTAAAATTTTGGGTTGAGACCCGATACTTACTAAGAGGTGTTAAAGAAGTTCGTTCCATGGTGAAATAATTTTAACAAAAATCTCCAAGTACTGTTTCACTAAACAAATGAATTTTGAGTCTGACAAAATCACAATATTGTTTTAGCTCAACTGGGTTTTTTTTTCAATGATAGACATAATATAAGCATTGACCCGCTGCGCCGAGAGAGGATGTTGAGACATCGAGTCTTACGATTTTTGAGCGACTGATTTTCAGTTTCCCATTAGTTAAAATTTTGGGTTGAGACCCGATACTTACTAAGAGGTGTTAAAGAAGTTCGTTCCATGGTGAAATAATTTTAACAAAAATCTCCAAGTACTGTTTCACTAAACAAATGAATTTTGAGTCTGACAAAATCACAATATTGTTTTAGCTCAACTGGGCTTTTTTTTCAATGATAGACATAATATAAGCATTGACAATTGGGGATTACTTTATTTGTATGCCTCCATAAACGAAGTTTCGGGGTTTATAGTTTTTGTCGTGTCTGTCGGTCTGTCTGTCTGTCTTTCTCTCTGTCTGTCTGTTTGTCCTCAAAAACTTTGACCTTGCCCATAACTTGATTTAGTGGAGCCATGACTTTCATATTTCACGTGTTTACTTCTTGTGACAAGACTTTTCTAAATTTGACCTTGAAATTGGAGCTTGACCCACTTTTACACAAAAATTCCAAACTTTTAGTTTTGAACAGTAGATACCGGGAGTTTCATACTTCATATATCTGTTCTTTGTGGCAAGACCTGTCATTGGATACCAACAACTTTGACCTTGACCTTGTAGATTTCCGTACTTATAAAAAAAACTTTAATTTTTAACTATTCACTGTTTCACTAAACAAATGAATTTTGAGTCTGACAAAATCACAATATTGTTTTAGCTCAACTGGGCTTTTTTTTCAATGATAGACATAATATAAGCATTGACAATTGGGGATTACTTTATTTGTATGCCTCCATAAACGAAGTTTCGGGGTTTATAGTTTTTGTCGTGTCTGTCGGTCTGTCTGTCTGTCTTTCTCTCTGTCTGTCTGTTTGTCCTCAAAAACTTTGACCTTGCCCATAACTTGATTTAGTGGAGCCATGACTTTCATATTTCACGTGTTTACTTCTTG